GATTGTTTTTTTTTTTCGTTCAAAATTATAAAAACGTATTAATTTTACATTTTTTTTAAAACTTAAAAAATTGACTAAAATTTTGAAAGAACTAAAATACTCGTGAATAATTTGTACGTTTGTTTTTATAATACTAATAAAATGTAAATTTTATAGACTGTACCTATCGAAGGAAACATTTCCTAACAAATTTTTAAAAAACCTGAAATATTAATTTGCAAATTTTATTTTAAGTTGGTTAGTCAATAAAAGTTTTTTGATTTTGTAGACAGTCAACATTTCAAAATTAATAACTTGATATGTTATTTTTATTTCTTTTATTATTTATGTGTACCAGTGGAATTTTTATCCTGAAAAATTCCTAAACTGAACCTTATTCAAGGCGTATTATCTTATTTTAATTCTTATATTTTTACACCTGGATGGCCTTCCAAAGATCAAGTATACATTGCATGTTTTATTTATTTTACCCTTTAAAGTACGCTTTGTCTCATGCCACGCCTTAGAAAAATGTTGGGTAAATGCTAAAAATTTTCATTTGTACCTTGAAACATCAATACACAAATATAACGAAAATAAATCAACGTCAGTCAAAGTATTGCACAATGGGAATATTTACTTTGTTTGAGTTTATTCCTAATCAGTTATATAATGAGCCGATTTCACTATCAAAACAGTATGATTCAGTCATTTCATTATCAAACGTTGGATAAATACAAATTGAAATGTTGAAATTTCTATCAGAACACAATTTAAACTTACTCGATGCTACCAACTATCGTTAAGTCAAACAAAAATATTATTTTTAGTAGTTTAACAGACATTTTTAAAAACGACTAGAAGATTAAACATTTCGTGTAATATAATTAAATATATCTATATTTAAATTTATGTATCTGTTGATGTGTTGATTTATATTGGGAATCATTTACAACTTCACAATAAATTACTTTTTATCAGCTTAAACAAGTTTTTTTGCATAAATTATTGTTTAGTGCATAATCCAACAATATAATTTATGAAAATTTGTGGAATATATTAATTAAATTGTTTTATGATATATTCGTACCGTTGTAGTGGTGCTAACTTCGTCCCTATGTTATTTGTTTTATTTAATTAGAAGTAATAGCAGTAGTAATGAACCTATTTGTTTTACCGCTTTGATGGTTCCGTAAGTATGTTACGTACCAACTATATTATATGTTAATACATTCTACAACCGGTAAATATAAAAACTTGTATTTACTGTTTTAAATGGGAATATTCATTACTACGGAATTTACAACTACTACAGCTAGTTTTACTACACTTGTAATAACGAAATTGAAAGTGAATTATAGTTATTTAGTGTAAGAGTGTGTTAGGTAGCGTTTAATTTTCTTAAGTGGATAAAACGCGACTAACACACGACTGTAATATAACGTTTTATCCACAATCACAGACCCAAATTATTCCAAACTTAATTAAAAATTAAACTGACATTTAAACGTCACGCCAAATATGCTTTCGGGCTGTTACGCGGTGCGCTGGTTACTGACAGTGGAATAAGTTACTTTATTCCACTAGTGGATAAAGTGGTACTTTATACGCATCTAAAGTGTGGAATAAAGTCTCTTTATAGAATGATTGTGGATAAAAATAGTTATTTATGGTACAAATGTGTTATACTACAAATAAGTCATGTAAGTAAAGGTTTAATCCAAGGATACTTGTCCTAAGTGACTAAGATTGGTGCAAAGCCATTATTAGCACTAATTTCAGTGTGCACAAAATCTGCCATACTAAGAAGGACTTTCATTGTACAACATACATATTGATCTAATTAAGCTTGTCTTTTTATCAATGAACTAAAAAATATAACTGATTTGTTTATTATTATTTAAGTTAATATTACTGCATATTTTTCATTGGATAACTATACACTACACTTGTTTAACAATTTTGGCGATCAATATAATGGAAAATTGTCATTAACACTCTTAATAAGGGATTGTTCTGCTTGAGTGCAAATATGGGCATATGACACCAACTTTGGAAAGGTTAACGACTGGTCAGGAACAAAACCATTGTCATCAGTAAGAATATGAATATTTATTTGCAATTTTAAAGCGTAAAATAAATAAGTAAAATTCTATTAGTCATGTGCTTCTAAACCAATAATCTCTAGTCATTAAAATAGTAATAAGCAGTTGTACACGGATGTGTAATATAGTGACCATTACATTTAAGAAACATTACTGAAACAAGATCACCCTGAAATAGGTTGGAACGCAATTTCAGTGAAATTATTAAATTAATATTTAAGAGTCATTCAAGTTCCAGTAATAAGATGAGTTATTTGGTAGAGCCAAATATTCGAATGTGTCTTAATTTGATAATTTGAGATATTCATGCTATCAAAAATAGATTTTTGACAAATTACTATGTGAGTTGTTTTGCCGGAGGAAAAGTTCAGTAGGTGTATCTCCACCCGAAACCATTATCAAGGCTTTTGGGTCTAGTGACAAGAATGAAAGCACAATACCTACCCAAATCTTTGTCAGTAGTCGATCTAGATCTAAACTTCCTTGATTTTGGCTACGTCACACCAATGCCAGGCCTATAAAAACTCGATCAGATTTTGAGTCCAGCATCATTCGATTCAGTCAGTTTCAAAACTCGACACACAGACCTAAAACAATCAAAATGTTCAAATTGGTGGTGTTGTCCGCTCTCGTAGCCATCGCTGCTGCTAAGCCCAGTGGTATTTTGGGCTACTCTGCTCTTGCTGCCCCAGCCGTGGTCGCCGCCCCAGCTGTAGCCGTGCCTGCTGCTGTTAGTCACCAATACAGAACCGACGTCATCAGCAAACCAGTTGTTGCCACTTATGCCGCCCCCATCGTCCAGAAAGCCGTAGTTGCCGCTCCTGCTGTAGTTGCCGCTCCCGCTGTGGTTGCCGCCCCCGTGGCCTATTCCGCCGCCGTCTCCCATCAATCCCGTGTGGATTACCATCACCCAACTGTTGTCGCTGCTGCCCCCGTCGCCTACGCAGCTCACGCTCCTGTAGTACACGCTTGGTGAAGAGAGGACTGAATGTGGTTAATGTAAATTATTTTCAACAATAAAGTTATTAAAAAAATCTAATTATTTTTGTCTTATAAGACCAAATGATGAACGTACTAATGATTTAATACAGGTGTCCTACGAGTAATAATGAGCCTGAAAATTGTTTTGAAGCAACCAACATTACATTTCATAGATAACGTGGATATTAAAATATTTCGTTTTAATTAGTTAAACATAGTAATCGTATTTTTACTTTTGACAAATTTCTATCAGTCAAAATGACATTAATCCAGTTTTAGGGAGTCTGTGTATTTGGATATCGCCCTGGATAGAAAGGTGCAGTCTGCAAAGCGTTTATCAAACATTCTTCATAAATGAGAATCTTGTTGGTTTTTTTGGCAACATTTTAGTAATTCTTACCAAATTCTCCAAGGTTTGACATTTTATAAATTAAAGTTGAAGTGCTGTTTGGTCACTATGTTTAATTTATTAAAACTAAATATTTTAATATCTACGTTATCTTTGGAATGTAATGTTGGTTGCTTAAAAAAACATTTCAGGCTTATTATTACTCGTAGGACACCCTATATAATTTTGAATAGTAAAATCGGTCAGTCGTATAAAAATCTGACAAAAATGAAAAATGTAATAAAATACGATGGTTTTTTCATTTAAAAATGAAATCTATTATCTGTATATATGTTTTTTAACGGTACAAAAATTCAAAAAGGAGGAAATCACAACTCGTAATTCAAAGCTACTTTTATGTTTTCGAAAAGCACTTATTTAGTTTTTAATCCATTTAGTGTTTAGTTTCAAACATTTAAACCATTTAAATATTTTAAAATGAAAAATTATTAGTGAAATATTTTTTAAAGAGATTTTATTTCGTAATAGGTAGGTATTTAATACTTACCCTACTTACATAAAGGTGTAAAATCACCAAGTATTGTGCTTTGTGCACTTGATTCCTGAAAAGTTGTGATAAGGGAGAAAAATTGTCCATTTCAATTAAAGTTTTCAAAATTCAAAATTGCCTAATTAAAAAAAGAAATACCTGATTTTTCAAAACAAAAATTATGTTAGAAATTAATCTGTAACCAAGTCGGACTGAAGCCCAAACAATGAAAATTTAAATACAGAATTTTTATCTTTTACCTATCCAGGGACACACTGTATATTTAAACTAAACTTCTTCATTATTTTTTATTATTCTGATTGAGTGATTGCACTTAATTTCTCAAAAATGTTACCAAATTTACAGTTATGCAATGCAATAATTACTGTTGTGGTGAATCTACAAAAGTCTTATATAATTTTTATTAATTAAGTATAAGTAGCAAATAAATAAAATATGTAAATTGAATTTTTTAAATGTTACAACAGACAAAATAACGCACAAACCTTGAATTGTATTGCTATATTTTTGTGTGATATTTATTCAAAATACTAAAAGACATTTTTAAAAATGAAATATTTCCTTGATTTCAAGATAAGATAACTATTAATTATAAAATCATTTAGAATGAAGACTTAATTAAGCCACATAATTCCATAAAATTCTAGATATATTATGGTAAAAAAATTTAGTTATTCGTTTCTCAAAAAATGGAAAGCATCGTTCTAATTCGTTAACATATTAACTGTTATCTAAATTTCTTCTCTAAAATTCAAGAGGCTTTCTGAAATATTTCACTTTATCAGAAGCATGTTGTCAAGTGTAGAAACTATTTAAAAATATCTTGTTACCGACACAAGATTGCAGTATTCGGTGGTTTGTAAAACTATCACGATGGTCAAGAAAATATTGGTCGCGTTATGTTTGTCGATTAACGTTGCTTCTCTGGTGAGTATGTGGTTCAAAATGTAAACTTACTGAATAAAAATATTGTTTTAAGCTTGGAACTCCTGATATTATACTACCAAACGGTCCAATCAGAGGGAAAGAAGCAACAACAATTAAAAATACGCATTACTATGCTTTTGAAAAAATTCCATATGCAATGCCTCCTCTGGGACAATTACGTTTCAAAGCTCCCATACCTCCAGCAAATTGGGATGAACCTTTGGATACTATTGACATGGATGTAGTATGTTATCAACAACCATCCAATAATGAATATGAGTCAGAAGACTGTCTTTATCTCAATGTTTTCACCCCTCAGGTATCTAAAGCAACAATAGCAATTTTTCAAGGTTTTGCAATCGACTTTGTAGCTTCCTGATGATAATAACGATCTAAGACCGGTTATGGTATATATACATGGTGGTGGTTTTGTTGGTGGTTCTGGTAGACACACCTATGGTGATCGTATAATTGACCAAAATCTTGTTTTTGTTGCTGTCAACTACAGATTGGGACCTTTTGGTAATTCATATTATTAAAATACCTACAAACCATAAGGTTTTTTTTGGGATCACAGGTTTTTTGTCAACACAAGATGAAGTAATTCCGGGAAATAATGGTCTAAAAGATCAACACTTAGCCTTAAAATGGGTTCATGACAACATCCACTTATTTGGTGGCGATCCTGATAAGATAACTATTTTTGGACAAAGTGCCGGGTCTGCCTCTTGTGCTTATCAGTTAATAAATCAACAAAATAAAGGTTTATTATTAGATTTATAAACAAGACACTTTAAACAAAGTAGTTTTTAGGTTTGTTTCAAGGGGCTATTTTACAAAGTGGATCATTTTTGAGTCCTTGGGCTTTTCAAAGAAGGGCAAGGGAAATTGCTTTTGACACTGCTGCTTTTATAAATGATACGTTTAAAACAAATCGCGATTCAAAAACTTTGTTAGAATTTTTGCAAAGTGTAGATGCAAAAGCTATAGATAGAGCGTCTGAACAATATCATGATTCGGTATGTTACTTTTGCTTTGTATTTTTTTTATTTATTATTTTCTAAAGGAGTCAAGTCCTGAAGATACGGAAATCTTGCAAGGGTTCTATTGGGCTCCAGTTGTGGAAATCAAAAATCCGGATGCTTTTCTTACAAAAAAAATGTATGGCTTGCTCCAAGCTGGTAATGTGGTTGGTGTTCCTATTTTAATTGGAATGACATCAGAGGAGTCTCTTGCTTTTAATACAAGTAAATTATTATAAAGCTGGTGCAACAATCTGTTAACAGTTTTTTAAATACAGATGCAGATGTTTTAAAAAATGTCATGACCGTTTATGACGAAAATTTAGATTGGTTGGTACCAAATGACATGGAAGTAACTGATGAAAATAATCGTACTACGATTGGATCAAAAATACTGGACATATACACAGGTGGTAATCCTCTAGCTGGTCATCTCGGCGACGGTGTTCGGGTAAAATTTTTGTGCAATTATTTTATGATTTATTTTTTGGTAGTACTCTAGTGACACTTCATTTACAAGATCTATTATAAAGCATGCTGAAATTTATTCTGCATTTGCCGATACATACTTTTATCAATTTTCCTACGACGGTGAATTAGCTGGATTCAATGTTCATTATGATGGTGCTGAAAGTGTTGCTCATAGTGAAGATTATGCATACATTTTTTGTGGGGGAACAGCTTGCAATGTTAGTAAATATCCAGAATCTGATCAAACAACAGTTGACAGAATAATTGCAATTTGGACCAACTTTGCTAAGTACCAGTGAGTATTGATACAAAGATAAGAAATTCTAAAACTGAGTTAGAAACCCAACTCCAGAACCAGCTGAACTTCTGCAAAATATTACGTGGCCTAAAGTTTCCACTGAAGATGGTGACTTTTTATACGTTGACATAAATGAAAATCTAGAAATAAAAAATCATCCAAAAGAAGAAACGTACAAAAAGTGGATTGAAATTTATGATGGTTTGGGGTATTCAGATTTTGACACATATTAAACAACCTCAAGTAGCAACATTCGTCATTAACTGCATTTAGTTCCATTTATATGTTTTGTTTTGTAATTTTAAGTATGAGTATGAGTGTTTAAAATAATTAGCTCTACTAAGAATTAGTTTACATTGTTAAAATTTGGTTAGAAAAGAAATAAATGATAATTCTATACAATGTTGACTTTTATAATCCACTTATTCCTACAAGCATAATCAATAATAACTATTGTTGTTAAGTTACCAATGACCTGCAGCGGTACAAAAACGGAATGTGTAAAAATTTAAATAAAACCGCAAGTAAGTATACTTGTATGAATTACTTGTCAGTTCCTATTATATTTTTTTTTGTACTGCGGTTTCCACATATTGACACAATTTATTTTTGAACGTTGATATTTAATTTTTGATATTTTAATAATTGTACGCTTAAATTGAGCCAAATTTCTTGATTGATTTTTTTATATCAAATTTAAAAATATTTTTGCGAAACGTGGTTTCGTCGTCACTATACATAAGCTATATCAATTTAAAAATTAAGCTAGCAGAAAATAAATATTTACTACCGTTTTAAGCAACATATTTTATCAAAAAAATAGGTTTATACGTATGTAGAATAGTCACCGCAATGTGTTACTTAAACTATCTATTTATCACAATACAATGTTTCTTTTGTAATGAAACGTTTATCTTATTGGTTGTGTCACTTTTCTTTTAAATACCTTATTACTGCATTTAGAGAAAAATTACTTTCTCGTCACTTAAACGTAATTTAATGTATACTGTTTAAGTAAAAAGTGTGATGACATAAGTTGGTTGCATTGTGGTATCGCATTCTTGTATAATATTATAAATATACAGGTGTCAACAATCGTCAATTTGTGAAATAAAATCGTAGTAGGAAACCATAAATCTTTGCAAATGGAGCTGTGATTTCAGTCGCAAAATCTAGCGAAATAGTCCCAATATTTATACAGCTACACCTGTTATTTAGAAGCCACAATGTGAAAACATAAAAAAATTTCTTCACTCGTCATTTACACAAGTTCATGTTTAAAATATTTGAATAAAGCAGTTACGGCAATAATAATCTCATAATTACGAATTTCGTTCCATATACTTGTAATTTGGCGGTCACCAGCGACGCGTGACCATATTTTACTTATTTTCTCACAATAAAGGTCTTTGTATTGCGATAGAGTGACTACAAGAGGGGATGGATTTGGTGCTTTTCCTTCTATATAAATGTGGATTTTTCGTAGAATCGGTATTCTGTCATTATTCACGTCGACGACACAGACCTAGTAAAAATGTTCAAGTTGGTGGTGTTGTCTGTAGTGCTCGCTGTTGCTGCTTCAGCCCCTGCTCCTGGATACTTACACGGTGGATACGCTCTTCCTGCCGCCACCAGCTACTCCTCCAGGATCGATGTACACAGCAAACCGCTGATTACGACCTATGCTGAACCTGTAGTGGCCAAAACCATCGTCGCAAGTCCTATTTCTTACGCCTATCCTGCTGTGAGCCATGGGTACGGCATCCACGCTCCTATCGTGAGCGGATATGGCTTGGGATACGATCATGGGTATGGCATTGGGCATGGCTATGGATATGGTCATGGATGGTGATAGCGACTCTAGCCCAATTTGTGCAATTGTGTTCATTAGGCAACAACAAGGGTATTTTTCCATTTTTCTTATGGTACCTACTGTAAATTTATTTTTGACAAATAAATGTGTAATTTATTTTTATTATTTTTATTACTTTAAATTAACTTCCCTCTTTCCTTCAATTTTAAAAATAGCCATGTATTTAAATTTTGCTTTTTGAACGGGATATACAGTATGTTCCCGCATTGAAAAAAAAATCCTCTTGTAACTCAATCCGGGGACATACTGTATATATGTTGGAACCCGTTGATTTTAAAATGATGTACCCGATGATATGACTATGATTTCTCGAAGGACCATATAAATGAAACTTGCTTGTTTGCTTGTTCAAAGAGTATTTTAAAATTATGAAAATTGTAAGAACCCCCATGTCGTAAGGTAGATGAAAATGTAGGTAAGATGATTAGAACAATTAAAAAAATTAAATTAAATAGAAAATTATGTAAATTACCTGCTGTATGTCAATAAAACTGTCGCAAGAATTGTGTAATAAAAATAATGAGTGATATAATATATTCACACACTAGAAAAACGCATAAAATGAACAATTAACATGCAATTATGCATATTAATAAGCTCGAATAAGTTATCTGTAATAATTACAGCAATGTGAATAAAAATATGGTAATCAACTTATTAAAAATGTAAATATCCGCACAAGAAATTGAAATCTCTGCTAGGTCGGTTTAGATTTTAATTCACCATTAATTTGACGTTTGGCAATGCAAATTAAAAAACTACTTATTAGTGTAATTAGTATATTAGTTTAATTGTCAATTAAAATGTTGGACATACTGGGTCGCAATATTTTTCAATTCACCTGCGAGGGACTAATATTCTTTTTTGATCTATTTTACTTTGTAAGAAAAAAAAATCAATTTATCAAGATGGATACACAATAGAAATTTAAGCCCTCACAATTTCGAAATTCTTATACAAAAATTTTTTAAAGATTTTTTCCATGTTCCTGCTATCTTATCTTATTTGGCATTGTTCCTTGGGATATCACCTGAATGTAGTACAACAATGTAACAAATTGGGGTCGGGCAACAGGTTCCTCGAAATGTATTACAGATTACTAGATTAATAAAAATCTCTTATTGTGAGCAATTTTAAATAACCTAATTTTAAAGATTTGTTTTTTAAACAATTTTGCTTTTCAAACATTATCTGGTTTTGATTATAAAGTTATCGGTATCGCCTATAAATAATCAAAATTCGCAGAAGAGCGGGAAACCCATTGCCGCTGCAGCAACAATACAATTGAGATAAATAAGTCAGTGATTAAGGAATTGTTTATCTGAATTAAAAATTTAATACATAGTGACTACTCACGTCAGCAGGTCTGCATAGGTCTTTATCTTAAAGGATGTGTGAGTTTTATTTCCATTATTTTTTTACCATAATATTGAAATGTTTCATTTTCAGATATTAATGTGTGATAAACAATTATTAGTTCCGAGTTTTCGCCGAATTTGTTTATTTTAAAAGCACTTAAAGAAACATTTGCTGATAACATAAACAGCTGCACAACTGATTTAAAGCAGGAAACGGAAGAAAAAGCATATAGCATATTTCGATTGATAATATCAGTGGAAACACTTTTTCCTGTACCCTCCCTTCGTCTCTGGTCTAGCACATGTGACGAGTTCTGACGAGACGCTACGAGTGGAGAAGAAGCACTGGGGACGCCAAGGTCGTTGAGAGAGTGGCTCCACCGTCCCCAACAATTCTTATCTCTTCATTCAAAACTGTAATAACTGTGATATTAGTGCCTGCAAAATGTCTTCGGACAATAAAAAAGTGTGTTTTAAAAACTTTGAAAAGCAACACAAGATTCCTTTCGTAATTTACATCCATATTGAAGCAGCAAGAATACCAACGCCGGGTGACAAATCAATATTTGTCCAAAAACCTTGCGGATTCGCTTATTCGATTAAATGTTTCTACGATAGTTTTTTATCAAAGTGTGAGAGTTATTATGGTAACGACTGCATGAAACTGTTGTGGGAACGTTTGGAAATTGAAGCCAGTGACATAAGTGAAAAACTGAAATCAAAAGTCGAACCATTAAGCTTGAACGAGGAACAAATAAATCTGATGTCGAAACTAACTAAATGCTACCTCTGCAGTGAAGATTTAGAACGAGAAAAAGAGCCTGATTTTCATCCGCTAACTGGGGATTATTTGGGATCAGGACACAAAAAATGTCTAGGCTATCGGAAAATCCCGAAGTCTATTCCAGTTGTGGTTTCTAAAAATGGATTGAGATTTTTATTGGGAGAGCTGAGTAAAGACAAACTTAAAAACATTTTTTTTCTTTGTGGGAACAAAGAAGGCAAATTCGGATACATAAGTCAAGTTCCGGGGTTACTTAGTTTAAAATTTGTAGAATCTTCTCAATTTCTAGATGATGAGTTTGAAAGTCTAGATAAGGTTTTGAGCGATTCAAAGAAGAAGAGCGTCAGAAGGAAGTTTAAAGAAGATGAAAAGTTTTATTTAATGAAAATGAAGACTTGGGTTCCGTTTTCGTATCTGGACTCTTTTGAAAAACTTACCGAAAGCGATTTCCCTCCTCCGTCCGGGTTTTACGATCAGCTTGAAGATGAAGAAATTTCGCGAGAAGAGTATAATCGTGGTGTTCACATTTGGACGACTTTTGGATGTGAGAATGTCGGTGATTATTTGAAAGTTTGTTTACAATCCAGCGTTTTACTACTGGAAGATATTTTCGAAAATTTTCGAACGCTTTGTTTAGATAAGTACAGGTTAGATCCGTTTCACTATTGTACTATTGCTTCTTTTGCTTGGGACGTTATGTTGAAATACACAAAAGTTAACTTAGAATTGTTGAAGGATGAGGAAATGATCGCTTTTATCAAAGATAATATTCGCGGTGGAATTGTACAATGTTCGAAACGATATGCACTTGCGAATAACAAGTTTTGCCAATTTGACAAAACTAAACCACCTAAATTTATTGTGTATTTGGATGCGAATAATTTGGGAGGTTGGGCCATGTCACAGTGTTTGCCTTATTCCAAATTTCGGTGGATGAGTGGTAGTGAAATTGAAGAAATTACTCCAGAATTAGGTAAACTTGAAGAAGAGGGTCCTGATGGTTACATTTTTGAAGTCGATTTGGATTATCCGAAGAAATTACATGAGAAGCACAATGATTTACCTTTTTGTTACCAACATTTGACTATACCTCAGTCAGGACAAACTCTACGGATTTTGAATTTCTATAACAAAAAAAATTACGTTACCGACTTCCGAAATTTAAAACAATGTCTTTCGAATGGTCTCATTCTAAAAAAAATTCATCGCGGTTTGAAATATAAACAGCTAAAATGGTTAGAACCCTACATAGCTTATAACACAAAACTACGAGCAAGTGTAGTATCTGATTTTGAAAAAAAACTTTACAAACTACTCAACAATTCGGTTTTTGGTAAAACAATTCAGAAAGCAAGCACCGATAAACCTATCTATGCAGGTTTTTGCATTCTAGAATTATCAAAAAAATTTATGTATGATTTTCATTACAATACGATGCTTCCCAGATACCCCAAAAAAATTAATCTTCTCTACATGGATACCGACTGTTTCATTTACGAAATCGAAACCAGTAATTTTTTCCGTGATTTACAATTGGATGAGGAGTTTTTAGAGCTCTTTGACACTTCAAATTTAGATAAGCGATGGGGGATCCCCTCAAAGAATAAAAAAGTTCCGGGAAAAATGAAAGATGAATGTGATGGAAAAATCGTACGTGAGTTTTGCGGTGTCGGAGCTAAAGTCTACTGTTTAGATGTTGAAGGTGAAGAGATGAAGAAAGCTGTAGGGGTGAAAAAATATGTGAAGAGGAAGTATATTTCAGTGGAAGATTATCGTAATTGCGTTTTAAGAGATATTGTAATTAGGAGAAGCTTCCTCGAAACAGTGTGTAAAAATTATGAGGTAAAGACATATCAGGTGAATCGAGTAGTTTTATCGCCGGGAGATAAAAAGCGCTGTATTAGGGAAAATAAAGTTGATACAGATGCGTGGGGGTATTATGAACAATGCGACGATTGATAATGGGTTTTACATGTACGTACTACATATTTGAGAAATATTTTATTTATTATTGTTTGCGTGTACAATAATTTGTCTAAGTTTGATTTTATAGAATTTTATTTATAGTTACGATTACTGTTTGCAGTATTGCTTTAAGTCTAGAACCTTGGTTTCTAAAAAAAAAATATTTTTTGCCAGTTATGTTATTTTGTGGTAAGACTTCTTGTACCTATAATATTATAAATGACTAATAAATTGTTTCGTTTTTTATTTCTTTTGATTTATCACTTTATCAGTGAAACTATAATAAAAGGAAATGTAGCGCAAAATTTTAAAAATATGTTTTTCAAAATTAAGTACAAGTTAAGCTATGCGTCTGTTTACGTACTATTACTTATTAACATATATACATAATTGATAGTGTCATTAAGCATAAACATGAAAACGAAAACGATTCACTTATGAGATAAAAAACTTTAATTGAAAAAAATGAAGGATTAAGTAAAGACATAATGACTATAAAAATTGCTTAAAATGCCTTCCACTGCAATTGAATGAGAATTGAAGATAAACAAATGGGGATACAAAAAAATGTTTAAACATTTTTTCTCAGAATGACATTTTCTATCACTGACGTATGGCGGTTTACTTTTGGTATACCCTGTATAAAATTTGGACTTGTTTTTTAATTTACAAAAATAAGAAAACATTTTTATAGTCAAGTAATAATTTTATTTAGAGCTTTTTTTAATTTTAAATAGCAT